AAAAAAAAAAAAAAAAACTGTAAATAAAAAAATTATGTCTCATTTATTTTATGAATATTAAGTTAAACAATCGAAGTTATGAATAAAATTAGCAATTACGTCATTTGAATAACTAACTCGTACTAAAGAGAAATTATATTACAAGTAATGAAAACTTTTAGAATTTAATAAATATAGTGTTTAAATAAGTAACTGTAATTCTTTGTGTGTTCAAGTTCTATGTGGTACTTGCTCAAATATTCATTGAATATTTATTTGTAGCAAATATATTAATCCCACTCGATAGATGTTAAAAAGAAATTGTTTACCACTGATTACACGTGAAATCACGTAAACGTACAATTGTGTTGTACACAATTTCTAACACGGAATACGCGTGCTGAGAAAAGAAAAAAAAAGAAAAGAAAAACCTTTATCCATTCAAGACCTCAGCTGAAATTATCCTCGCGAGAAAAACCAGCACAGCAGCTGGGGTCATTGAACTTTCTCGGCCGCAATTTACGCGCCGTCAGGAACGAAAGAGAAGCTGAGGGAGGGAAAACAAGGCTCTCTCCCTCTCTGGCCCCACAACCCCATTGTTACCTGCGCTTTTGCTTGCACCCCTCCGCACATATGTTCTCGCAGTGATGGATATGTTACGAGGAGAAAAAAAAAGGAAGAAAAGAGGTGTCCTAGGGATGCGGGAAAAGTACGGATTCCTACCGGACTCGTTTACTTGTCCATGTGTGCATCTGAGTCAACATATACATGTTAATGCTTGACATCTGCTATAGGTAAAAGTGGTCATGGATTATTGGAGACGAGAATAACGGCGCAGAGTCGATGATATTTTTTTATCGGTGATCCCGAGACGTGATTCATCGTTTGCCGATTATTCACTGGACAGTTGTATTGAGAGAAACTAAAACACTTCAGGGGCATGATCGGCATTATCGGTGTGAGAGTTGATTAGATCTAATACATGATTATTTTATTGATAGTTTCATCAAATTTAATTATTTTTACTGAAGTGAAAACAGTACATCACACCATTACCGTTCCAATTGGAAAAAATCATAAGTAGAAAAAATCGAGAAAAAACGTGTCAAACGTCGCACCCTCAAGTCATTACTGAAAAAAAAAAATATGTACCAACGAACGACCTAATTACTTCCTAATAGTGTTTTCTGCGATAGCCTATCCAATGCATGTAAAAAAATCATATAGATAATCAAAGCAAAATGCTGACGACAATACGTTTAGATTTCTGTTCAAAAGAGACATGTGCTCAGAGCCCATTATTTTCAGTTTTCTATTTGCACACTTCACAAGATTAATTGGAGTTTATCATACATGTATGCATATAAACATGTCTCGTCTTTATTGTATACCATAC